ATCAAGAAGGTGGTTCACCCATGGTGAGGCTCAGCCGTTGCACTCCGGTTGTGCTGACCTATGGGAATTCCCCAAATGTGGGAATCTCGACTGCATAATTTCTGGTAGTGGGGGACTGCGTTCGTGCTCTCCCCTGAAGAAAAAAAAATAATGGTAGAGAATCATCAATTCTATGATAATAATTAAAAAAAAACATTTATTAGATTTAATTTAGGTATTTTTTGCATTTTTTTAATCTTCCCTCCAGCTTTTTGAGGCCCTCTAGCGCCCTTTGGTGGCCCCTACTTTGAAAAACACTGGTACAGATGTGCTAAACTGTATCATATTTAAGGAGCTAATCGTAGCCTCACACCAAGAAGGCCCTTGGTTTGACTCCTCTCGTTTGTGTGTATGTGTGTGTACACACAAACACACACACTGACACCAACTAATTCATTTATTGTAGTTTTGAATAAGCCACGCTTCCTCTTATCCAGTCATTAGTTAAACAGCTAAGTGACATGCAAATGAAATATCAAAACAAAGTGACTGATTTTTAATTATTCTCTAATGTTTTAGTATTATTTTGCCAACTTTAATTCATTCACTCGTGCAAGGGTGTGCCTGTCGATTCATTGAATGGTTTTTTAAATGCTGAAAACCCCCGACATATTTAATATAGTTTTTAGTCTGTTTTCTTCTCCAGGAAATGGTCACAGCATGATGAAAAAGTTTCTTTACTGGCAGTTACCCATAAAACTCATTAGTCTGCTTACTGGTTTTTTTGGAGGCTCAGCAGGAGCTGCTACCGTACGGATGAGTTCAAAACTATAAATCAGGCGTTGTATTGCAAAAATCAAACTTTTAGACTCAGTTTCACAATTAAGAGGACAGTTTTGAGCACCTCAGGTTTTGTATATTATTCTTACATTTTGTTGGAATAGCGCAGAATAATCTTGCAGAACGCCCTAATTTAAATCCAGTACAAATAAATTCATGCAGCTCTTTTCTTCATTTCCTTAATCAATTTATTGCTTTCCAAAAGGAATAAGAAGTGGGGAATGTCCTGGATAAGTTGCCGTGCACAAGGCCACACAAAAATACAAGGAAAATATTCACACACTCACACCTGGGGCCAATTAAGAGCCTTCAGTTAATATAAGATACATGTTTTTAAACTGTGTGAAGAAATTAGAGAAAATTAGGGAAAATTCATGCATACACAAGGAAGATGTTCAGCCCTGTTTTCAGTTTTGTAATTAAGATTTTAATAGTGTACGTTTTCCTAATAAGCATTCCATCTAAAATGTAGATCAAGTAAATAAGAACACCTTTTTACTACCAAAGTCTTTTGCCTTAAATTAGACTGGAGATTTAAGCAAATAAAAATAAATACAAAAGTAATTGTAGTTCATCAAAATGATCTGCAACCAGAATTTGTGCACAGAAAATGGTGACAGATGGCTAACTGACTGCCTTTTTTCTTGGTCATTACTTTAATGTTTGTATTTTTCTCCATTTCTGTTGGAAAAAAGTATATAACAAAATATAAAACCTTAAGAACATATAAAGTGACAGTCTTCATATAACGTGGTTGTGTTTTAAAGTACGTTTCAAACTTTTACCTTTTATGAATGACAGTTTTATTCATTAAAAATTACAGAATAAGTAGAAGGAGGCCATAAATCAGCAGTTATTCTGTGTTTGGTCTGTGGTTCCAAGTCAGGATGGGTTGGGGGTTTGGGCTCTCGGGTCATCCAGGTGGTACTGAAGAAAGATAAATTCCCGCCAAGCTGCTCCATCTGCCAGCTTCTTACTGGAAAATGGTTGATGCTACAGATGCCAAAGTCAACTCGCCACCAATCTGTCCGACCTCTTTATTTTTGCTTTTTGCCAACGACTTACTGATCAGAACTGATAAAGTTGGGTCAGTGCAGTGTTGACTGAATCCATTAGGTATGAAGGGAATATACAGTCAGTGTTGGAAGGTTATGTTGATTTTAAACATGTTGCACAATATTTGCTGTTAATATTTGAATCTGAATAGAACCATTATTTTTGATGTTAAAGACTATCATCCTTTGAGGGAAGAGATAAGTATTGCTTGTATTTGACTCCCAATCAAGTCTCTGATTTGATTGATAAATAATGTTCAAAACTGGCCTAACCGGAATGAGCAAATGACATGCTTCTGTCTTAATTTTAGCAAACAAAACTTAAAGAAATGAAATGTAGAGGCATCATTTTTATAATTGTAAAGAAGAGATAACATTTATAGTTTCTGTTTGTTTGTTTGTCTGAGAATTTCTTAGCTTGTTATGTTGAAGCTAGAGTTTTTTGTGCCAACAGCAAGAGCGCCTCAGCAAACTTTCAACATGAGACACAGTTGGCAGGGAGGGAACAGTGCTGTGATAATCGTTGTACACATACAGTGTTTTTGTGTGAGCAGCTGCTTGTTTCCTTTTGATTCTCAGGTATGAGACTTTGGCTGTGGCTACAGATGCAGAGAGTCGACAGGATTCGGACCTGCCCCTCAGAACTGGGGGGAAAAGGCTGACAGTGAGTTCTAAATACAAATGCGGATGGACAGAATGTGTTTTGTGTTTTTTTTTTCTTGAACAGTTAATATCAAACCCTGGAGGGATTCAAGTTCAGTACATACTTTTATAAAATGAACAAGTTAGCTGAGTTTTCTCATAGCTGCTCAGCAGAGAGCTACAGGAGCCGTGTTAATTACCAGCTCATACAAACTTCATATGCATATTTGAAAAAATCTAATGAGTGCATCTTCTTCAAAATAGAAATTATGTAAGAAGGTTTTACGAAAGACTGTCAAACTGCATACTTTAATAGTTTTTTTATATAATGATATTTTAAATATGCAAAATCCTCTTTTTTAAACATTTTAAGCATTTGGTTGTGCACTTGGAGTCTCTAGGAGTGCAGAAAAGTTTAATTTAGTCTCACGATGCTTTGTAGATCTCTTTATATTCTGTTTGGGTCGTATTTAACCCGTTCAGTTTCTCTTTTTTCTATGACGTTTTCTGAACAATTACATCACATGAATTCACTAAATAAGTTCTGGACTTACCAAAATTTGGTGGTCTTCATTCTCATCTGGTTCTGGGTCAGATTCTGGCTCCAACATGTAAGGTTTCATGGACAACTCTTCCCTTGTTGACATCTTTTAATTCATCAGTAAATAAAAGTTTCTGCGCAGCTATATAGGCATAAACCTCACCATCAAACTACAGGTCAAAAAGAAAAAAATTGTATAGGTCTTCTGGACGGGTTCTTCTCTAATGAAATGTTTCGTCTCTTCTCCAAGAGACTTCTTCAGTCTGAGAGTTTCAGGCAAAATTCAGGCTTTTGTGATGTGACTGATACTCACATCACATGGCTATCGTTGACACCTTATTAACACTTATTGTTAGCAGGGGGTGGAGTGATACTGGCTATAGCCGCACTGTAGGAGAAGGACAATTGAAAAC